AAGAAGACTGGGCCCATGGCACTTCCTGGCCTCAGAGCGCGGTGTCTTGCGCGCTCCACCTTGACCAAGCAGAGCTGAACCTTGAACCATAAACCTTAGGTAAACCCTCATCCGAAATCCCCAAACCCTAAATCCTAAATCCCTAAAAACCCATAAACCCCTAGATCCCTAAACCCCAACCCTAAACCGCGAGCCAAGCCAAACCCTCACCAGTCTGACTGCCGGGGTTTCGGGTTGCCGCCTGGAATCAGGCCTCGACTTAATGGAAGGGACTTGAGTCAGGATTCATAACTTGGGATGTTCCCCCTTATACTAACAGTCCTTAATAGGCATTAGAGTACCCCTAAACCCCGAAAGCTGAAAACCCCAAGCTGCGTTTAAAATCTGGGGGCATTGAGGCAACCAACGTCAGATGCACCGCCCCGTACCCCCCCAGCCGAAGCCCTTCAGCACTGCTACATTGTTTTCTGCAGGTTACAGAGTATTCCCGGGGCTGTAGATCAACAACCTATAAGCAAGTAGGTTTTGGGTTCTTAAGACAAGCCTCCGTACCCGTAAAGGTGCCAGAAACTTGAAACTTAATGATGTGGGATGAGGACACCAAGGTCCCCCTAGAACCACCAGGATAAAAGTTCATATAACTGAACGAGACCTAAATCTAGACAACCCCCTACAATGAGCAGCCCTAAACCCGACGCCTCAAAACTCAACTCTGAAATTAAGGCACCAAAACCCCAAGAACCTCTGGAACCCTGAACCCCTAAACCCTATAAACGCTAAACCCTATAAATACCCTATCATAGCCTACAAACCCTATAGTAGCCTACAAACACTACAATATCCAAAAAGACCTATAATAGCCCATAAACCGTACTGAAACCCTGTAAGCCCTAAGACCCCAAACCCGAAACTGTTGAAGCTGGGCAAGTCCGAGCACGGTACGTGTCGCAGCCTTGAATTCCGCGTGGCTCGGAATGTACACCTCCCGGGGAGTTTAGGGTTTAGGGTTGAGGGTTGAGGGTTTAGGGTTCATGGTGGGTTTCATCCTTTGATACGTACACCACAATGTGCAGGGGGGTCGGGGCCACCACTCAGTGGTGTCGGGGTGGCAGCATGTGTCCAGGTGCGCCGATGATGTAAGAACGTTGGGCCTTCAAACCCTCAGAAAAGCATTACGACATGTCATCCTCTTAAACCCAAGATAACCCAACACAGGAAGTCTTCAGGAAACACACAATATCCCAAATGCCTACCCAGCTTAGGTCATGCGGGCACCAGCCTGTGCGATGAAGGTGAGACAAGCGTGATGTGTATGCTCGCACGACGATATGGCATGCCATGTTGGTGTCTCCTAGGTAGGTGTATACTATGCTTTGGATTGGGGGCTAAAAGCGGATGATCTTGGTAGTTATTCAGCTATTTGTATGAAAGGCCGGACTTTGAACCCCGGTCAACCTGATACCTTCTGCAGCAGGCTGAGGGTCAGCAGGGTCCTTTGAACCATTTAAAGAAGGGAGACGGTTTCTTCTCCTGCCCGTAGACCCTAAACCCTATATTGCCTAGAAAACCTTGAAACCTTCTAAACCCTGTAAACCCCATCAACCCAAACAAAAACCCAGAAACAACCCGAAAAGACCCTGAAGGGCTAAGAGTTTAGACGACGGGGATTCAACAGCCCTAAACCCTAAACCCTAAACCCTAAACCCTAAACCCTAAACCCTAAACCCTAAACCCTAAACCCTAAACCCTAAACAGGCCTCGTCCCCGGTCCGTGCCAGGGAATGGCTGCCGGGATCCTCAGCTGGCCAGAAGGGCTTGAGGAGTTTCCGATAAAATGAGGGGTACCACTTTTAGTAGGGTTTAGGGTTTAGGGTTTAGGGTTTAGGGTTTAGGGTTTAGGGTTTAGGGTTTAGGGTTTAGGGTTTAGGGTTTAGGGGTTTAGAGCTGAGAGTTGAAGGTTCATAACCCCCCCCCCCCAACCTAGTAGGGCTCCCTTATGAGGACCCGCAATGATTGGGAAACCTCCATGTAGGTCAGGGCGGGTTCAAGGTTTGTCTCAGCGGCAAGAGCCCCAAACGCAACTTCGCAAATCAGGCTGCAACGCAAACATGTGCAACGATTCCTGCTTCCCTGACCCTCAACCCTAAACGAAAAAAACAGCCAGGAGTGAAACCATGTCGCTTGAACAGTTCCTAAACCCTAAACCCTATAAACCCTAAACCATAACCCAAAAAACCCCTAAATCCTAAACCCTAAACAAAACCCTAAACCCTATAAACCCTAGATCCTAAACAATTTGGGACCCTGAACGTTTGGGGGTGGTTTGGGGGTGGTTTGGGGGTGGTTTGGGGGTGGTTTGGGGGTGGTTTGGCGGTGGTTTGAGGGTGGTTTGGCGGTGGTTTGGCGGTGGTTTGGCGGTGGTTTCGCGCCATGGGTTTCGGGGATCGGGGATCCCTAAACCCTAAACCCTAAACCCTAAACCCTAAACTCTAAACCCTAGACCCTAAACCCTAAATTTGACCCTAAATTAAATGCTTGAACCGCGCATCTTCTGTGCACTGAGGGCGATACCGAGGGCTTCGACGAGCCCATGCTATTCTGCGCATCTTGGTGTCCTGTGAGAAAGCACCCTCCGTCTGGTTCAGGGTTTAGGGTTTAGGGTTTAGGGCTTAGGGCTTAGGGTTTAGGGTTTAGGGCTTAGGGTTTAGGGCTTAGGGTTTACGGTTTAGGGTTTAAGGTTTAGGGTTTCAGTCCTTAGTAGGGGGCAAATTATTCAGGACTCTAAGTACAAGGGGGGACATCCCCAAATTGGGCTTTGGAGTAGGCATTCTAGTGGATTTTCTCGACGTTACGATGCTGCTAAGGGTATGTATCGAGAGGACTGCATGCCGAGTCTACCACACGGTTCGGGTGACTGTCACACCAGGTCAGCCCCGAGGGTTTGGTGTTCTTGCCCTAAACCCTAAACCCTAAACCCTAAACCCTAGACCCTAGACCCTAGACCCTGAACCCTGAACCCTGAACCCTGAACCCTGAACCCTAACCTATCCTGGCATCCCTGGGGGTCCTGTCGTCAGAGCCGCCGGAGGCCCATCCCCACTGGCCTGGACAAGTGCTAATTAAGGGTTAAGGGTTTTAAGGGTTTGGGGTTGAAAGGGTTGTAAGGGTTTGAGGGGTTAAGGGTTTAGAGGGTTTCGGGTTTTGAGGGTCTAGGGGTGTTTAAGGGCTTACGGGGTTGAGGGTTTTGAGGGTTTGGGGGCCTTTAAGGGTTTTAAGGGCTTTGATGGCTTAGGAGCTTTAAGAGCTTGAGGATTTGGGGTTAGGGTTCATGTGGTTCACCTACACAGGTCACAGGACAAAAGGTACTCCAAAACAAGGGGTGATGGCCTCCAAAAAACAACACTAAAATACCCCCCCCCCCCCCCCCCCCCCACCGCAAGAACCCTATGCCCCATTCTAAAATTCTTAAGGCTGCTATCGTACGACGTGGGAAGAATCATCTGTGAACCTCTTTAACCTGCGAATCGATGGCTCTTCCCAACCGAGCTAAACCCGAAAACCCGAAAACCCGAACCCCCCAGGCACCACAGCCCAACCTGTGCAACTCCAGGTTGTGATCCGCTGTCTGCAGCTGCATCTGCCAAGGAAGAACTGTGCATGTGATCTGCTTGGGTTTAGGGTTGGGGGTTTTGGGATCGTGCAGACTTCACGGTTGAAGGTTCAGGGAAGCTGAATGGTCATTGCACCACAAAGCTTAACATTGAGCAGTAGGCCCTGACATACCCTAAGCCCTAAACCCTTGCAAGCCCCTGCCTGGCATTTCTTCTTCTATCACGACAACGCCATCCTCCTTGCAAAGCAGAGGGCAACCATCCCCTGTGAGTGCCTGGGGCGTTTGAGGCTTTAACTCAATGTCTGGGGACCTGCTATTCACCTCACTCAAACCGAGTGACATGCAATGTCGACTACGTGCCTCAACAACCATCGTGGACAACAAAAAAAGGTGTTACTCTTGATACCATGTCGTTGCTATAGCCCTGTACACGGTACAGTTTATAACTCTTGACGGATGTGCCACGTCACCTCCGTGATCTGCTCCGGCGATTCTGGTTCAAGCCGGCGCTTGATGCTAGAATCCAAAACCCGCCGCTCATTGAACAGATATGTACCCCGCTGGGTGGTGGACGGGTATGGGGTTGGGTTACCTGAAGGCTCCAGTGTAGCTCCTTTTTGGGCTAGTTCTAGGGGATTCGAGTATACTACCCAAAAAAGGTACTACAGAGGAGCCTTGGGGTAGCAACCAGGGAAACACAGCCGCCTGTGGGGAGATAGCCTCGACCGGCCATCTTCTCACTGGCGAGGCCTCAATCTTTATGGCCAGGTCGTGTCCTGCAAAGGAAGCTCATGAACTGGGACTCGTCTTCATGAAATGGGGGGGTTTGCGAAATTAAAGGACCCTACTATATAGTCCCCCAAGAATAGGATTCCCTTGTCATGGAATCCCGAAAACCCCCCCCCCCCCCCCAAATCAAGCCAGAGTCATCAATCAATGCACACCGTGTGCCTCTGGCAGGAGCTGTGGGCCCCGCAGTGGTCGGTTTAGCCGGCTGCGGTGCCTTCAAACACTTGCTTGCCAACCCCCCTCATTGCCCGCCTCTCCCTCTCTCAGCGATTTGTGGGTTGTAAATGGATTCGGCCTTGGCTTTGACAGCTTTCGGGACACCTGCAGCGCAGCGGGGCTCAACGTGCTCCAGTCACCTGTAAGCGAAACCCCACCCAAGAAACGGAGCCCGCATGCCTGGGGCCTTCTCCTGAGCAGGTGCCGGGTCATGTCCTGCAAGGCAGATGCCAGACATCAAGCCGAGCCAGCAAGCAACGCACGCAGCACGTGCAGGTTGAGGCGTTCCTCCGACAGGAGCTGCGGGCCCTGCAGGCATCGGTTTGTCCGGCCATGGTGCCTTCCAGCACTTGCTTGCCAATTCCCCTCGCGTGGCCGCCTCTTACTCAGCTCTGTCAATGGCCAAAGTGTTGGCCTGGGCTTTGGCAGCTTTCGGGACGCCTGCAGGGGGCTCCAGCGGTTTCCACTCACCCGAATCCGAAACCCACCCCAAAACGGAGCCCACATTCCTGTGGCAGGCGGCAGCGTCGAAGGTGGTACCGAAGGTGCTACCTTGCACAGCTGGTGCAAACAGTGCAAACAACTCCCACAAGACATCACTTCTCTGGCCTTTTTCTGGGCAGGCGCCAATTCGTGTCCTGCAAGGGGGATGATTTCGAAGCCAAAACACAGGCCAGAGCTCGGCAATCAACGCATGCAACGCGCACAGGCTGAGACGTTCCTCTGTCCGCTTTGTCAACTTTCGGGACACCTGCAACGGGGTTAAATTCGCTCCAATCACCCGAGGCCAGGCCGAAACCCACCCAAAAACAGAGCCCGGATTCCTGCGGCAGGCTGCAGCGTCGAAGGTGGTGCCTCGCACAGCTGGTGCAGCCAATTGCCCCCAAAGCATCACCTTTATGGCCTTCGGCGCCAATTCATTTCCTGCAAGGGGGATGTTCAAGAAGCAAAGAAGCATTACGTGGGACTTGTCAGAAAACAAGCCAGAACCAGCAATCAACACGTGCAAGACACGTCTGCTGAGGCGTTCCTCTGGCAGGAGCTGCGGGCCCCGCAGTCGTCGGTTTAGCCGGCTGCGGTGCCTTCCAGCACTTGCTCCGCGTCTTGCTCATGTGCAACTTCTGTGAGTTGCACAAGGATTCTGCCTTGGCTTTGGCAGCTTTCGGGACACCTGCAAGGGGCTCCAGCCAACGAGCAGAGAAGCCTCAACCGATGTAGGTTCGCCCTAACACAGCAAAACCCTAAACCCTAAACCCTAAACCCTAAACCCTAAACCCTAAACCCGATACAGTAGGGCAAATCTGCGCTGGGGCCCTACCTGAGAGCGTCGGAGGCCGCAGTATCCGAAATGGAGCCTCCAACAATCGGGGCAACTCTTCTGTGCCTTCTTCCTCAATCTCCGAAACCCATTCTGTGCTTCAGGCTTCAGAAACATGAGCTTCTCTTAACTAGGCACATGGCACCAAGTAGTACACATACACACATGACCACATCATGTCAGGTCCGATTGAAGGTTCCTCGTTTGCTACGGTAAGATACTTGTAGGGGCACATCCCCGTTTTTGTAACAATTCGGGCTTCATGCCCACAAGCAAAACATCGACCTAGGGTCAGCCAGATGCTGCGCCAAAGAGAGCCGCACCCTGGAACGAGAAGGAGGGCCCCTCCCCACCTTGGCGTTGATTTGCACAGACGCCGGCGCCACAGCATCCACAGCATCTCCTCTGACAGATCGCTTCTGCGAGGTGAGAACCCTAAACCCTGAACCTTAAACCCTAAACCCTAGACCCTAAGCCCTAAGCCCTAAACCCTGCACCCCCTTGAACCCGATTTCCAGACTGCCCCGAACTTGAAAGGTCTAAGCCTCTGAGCCCTTGAATCTTCACTTCGGTTGCGCAAAAGCCCTCCCCAAGAAAAGAACCAAAGGTGGAGAGGAGTTCCTAAACCCTAAACCCGAAACCCTAAACCTCTCTTTCATATATAATTTAAATGTTAAGGAGTTACTGGGCAAGGTCATCTTTTTACTGGGCAAGGTCATTTTTTACTGGGCAAGGTCATTTTTTATTGGGCAAGGTCATTTTTTTATTGGGCAAGGTCATTTTTTTACTGGGCAAGGCTATTACTGGGCAAGGTCATCTTTTTACTGGGCAAGGTCATCTTTTACTGGGCAAGGTCATTTTTTTACTGGGCAAGGTCATTTTTTTGCTGGGCAAGGTCATTTTTTTACTGGGCAAGGTCATTTTTTTACTGGGCAAGGTCATTTTTTTACTGGGCAAGGTCACTTTTTTGCTGGGCAAGGTCATTTTTTTCTGGGCAAGGTCATTTTTTTACTAGGCATGGTCGTTTCGTCCAAAGGTGTTTAGGATTTCCGGGCCTAATGGTTAGGGTTTCAAGGCCTCACGGCTTGGTGTTGAGGGTTTCAGGGCCTCAAGGCCTGCTGTTTAGGGTTTCACGGCCTCACGGCCTGGTATTTAGGGTTTCAGGGTTTCAAGGCCTCAAGGCCTGGTGTTTAGGGTTTCAGGGCCTCAAGGCCTGGTGTTTAGGGTTTCAAGGCCTCAAGGCCTGGTGTGGCTTGTGTTAAGTGCTTGGTACTACGGCGTGATTGGTGCATCCGAAGAGAAAATAAGTAACCTTTTATTTTCTTAATGTTATGGGATTCTTTGGGCGGGTGGGTTTTTTCCGTTGCCTAGATACACTGCTGGCCTAGTAAATGCTCGAACTTGAGATGCTGAACCCTAAACCCTAAACCCTAAACCCTAAACCCTAAACCCTAAACCCTAAACCCTAAACCCTAAACCCTAAACCCTAAACCCTAAACCCTTTTGTGCCTCTGCTAGAACTCGCAGGGAAAGCCGCCGGAGGCCCGAATCTTGCAGAGGGCACCTGCCAGGGCTGTGGATTTTTGGGGGCTTAGGGTCTTCTTAAGCCCCAGCCCATAACTCTGGAAAACTCGATTACCCTAAACCCTAAACCCTAAACCCTAAACCCTAAACCCTAAACCCTAAATCGACTCTGTTCCCCAAAAGGCTCGAACTTCCCGAAAGCCCAGCCTGGGCGTCGGACGCCAAGGCCTCCTCTGCCGGTTCTGATGGGCCTGCGGAGAACTGGAGAATCAAGCTGCAACTACTTGGAAGCCCTTTTGACTTAGTGAGTAGGGTTAGTAAGGCGGATTTTGGGAATATAGTAAAGTCACAAGAGCTTCTTCATCTCAGGGTAGCTACACGGGCCCATACTTCAGAACCCTTTAAACGAGGTAAGGGACAATATTCAGGGCCCATAATACCCATAAAACTACCCTTAGACGAATAGATGCAAAGAACAACCTACAGCGCACAATGCAGGCATTCGAGGCTCATCTCACTGGAGGTAATTGGGTATACCATGAAATATATCCACAGGCCTGAGCCACCCCTGGCCGAGTCTTTGCACGTCGCAGCTGATAGGGCTGGCTGCTCCTAGGATGGGGGTTGGGGTTCAAAGCTCGGGGTGTAGGGTCTACGGTAGGGTCTACAGTCTGCCGGCTTCATAGGGTTTGTAGGCTTGCTAGTCTAGAGCCTATAGAGTCTTTGTAGGGTGTGAGCGTGAGGTTCCCCGTAACTGAGTAAGCAGGTTGAGCAATCAGAAATACATCAACACATACCGACACCCGTTTCTAGATTTATTGGGGGCCTTGTTGGGAAACGGAGCAAAAGGGGGTTACCTCTCGAGATCCTACGGTCTTGCTTGCTGAGTAGTCTACTTGTAGGTTCATCGGCAATTACAAGTAGGGGTAGATAAGTACTCTAAATACGGTTATAACTACTTCACGACTACCCATGAACCTCCAAGCAGGGGGAAAGAGGTTTACCGTGTTAGCCTTTGTTTTCCTGGGGGCTTACAATGCCCTAATTTCAGCACCTCAAGTCTTCGGGCTAATTTGGGGAACCCCCCTCAGAATACCCCAAAAGACTACAATCCTAAAATCGGAGCTCCCCAAGAGGAGAGACACAAAACCCGCCGCTAAACTCTAAACCCTAAACCCTAAACCCTGAACCCTGAACCCTAAACCCTAAACCCCAAACCCTAAACCTAAACCCTAAACCCTAAACCCTAAATCCTAAACCCTAAACCCTAAACCCTAAACCCGAAACCCTAAACCCCAACCTCTAAACCCTAACTCCCCACCCTGGTCCTGCTTCACCTTCGCCTGCAAGGGCCGGTGAGAAGGCACTGTGCCTGCGGCACCTTGGTGAGCGACAGCTTGGGACTCTACTGTAGGAGCCTTAATAATTAGATTAAGGCTTAGGGCTTAGGACTTAGGGCTTAGGGCTTCGGGCTTAGAGCTTCTGGCTAAGGGCTTAGGGTTGGGGTCATTATAGTATAATAATAAAGGGACCATTTCCGACTCCTATACTACAGTTATACTTGCCTGTGGTTGTATGAGTGTTGCTTGGTAACCCAGTAACCGTATTGTAAGAAGGGTATTGACATCTAATAACCTTTTTGGGGGGTTGCTTACTTATAAGGGGACCTTGAACCAACAAAAGGGAAAAGGTTCAGGGTTAGTCAAGGCAAACGTCGCAGGTTGTAAGGCCTAAACCCCAAAACCCCAAACCCTGAACCCTAAACCCTAAACCCCACACCCTAAACCCCAAACCCTAAACCCCAAACCCCAAACCCTAAACCCTAAACCTCCACCCCTTGGCATTTTGGGTCGAACTCCTCGCAGTTCGGAAGCTCGGTGGGTGGGGTTCCGAGTTCTTCCTTGGAAACCCTTTTGACTGAGTAAGTAGGGTTAGTAAGGTGGGTTATGGGGATTCTACTAGGGCTGACCGTTAGTTTCCAAATTTTGGCAGCTGTCACGACACCTAGATGGCCGTAAGCCCCTAGACCCTTACATACTCCTAAGCCCATCCCAAATACCCCCCCCCCCCCCCCCGAATTAAACCCTAAACAGTAAACCCTAAACCCTGATCCCTAAACCCTAAACCCTAAACCCTAAACCAACCCAAATCATGTGATACTATCTCGGGGGCCGAGGCGCTTCGGCTGCCGCTGCTGTCGCTGCTTGCGCTTTGGCTGCTGATGCTGCTGCTGCTGCTGAGCGAGGAGCTGAAGCTGCTAAGGCTGCTGTCATCACTGCTACTCTCAGATGACAGCGACTCCTGCATGGTTCAAGGAACTTCGTTCAAGGAACTTCGCTCCAGCGCGACCCCACGAAAGGGCTGCAGATGGGGTCTGGGGCTGTTGGGGTATGATGCACTTCTGCTGACCGAACATCTGCAGACGCAGTCCTGATTGGGCCCACCTAAACCCCTAAACCCCGAATTCCCTAATTCCCTAATTCCCTAAAACCCTAAACCCCAAAACCCGAATCTAGTGAAAGCCCCCGGATGGACTCTGCGACTTAAAAAAAGCAGCCCACCTAGGGGATTCCGAACATAGGGTTACCTTATTAGGGTCCATATTTTAGGGGGATCCTGACATTTGGGAGGGTCCATTGTAGGGATATTTTATTGGGGTCCGTTTCTTTCAGGGGGGATCCTACTATTCTGGGGGGGGGGGGATCCATTAAGGGGATCCTGCTATTCGGGGGTCTGTTTTAGGGGTCCCCGATTGTCGTAAACCCCCCACCTGTCGGCGCTTCACCTTCGGCTCCACAGGTTTGACCTGTCGGCCTGCAGGGCTTTGAGGGGTCATCGCTTGGGATGTTCACCCTTTTGCTCATAGTCCTTAATGGCTGATAAGAGGGGTACGATAATCCCTTTTAATAAGGACTGCTTCTTGGGGGGGGGTTTCAGGGGGGGGGGTATGGACCTAAGGTTCCCTCATACCCCCCCGACTACTCCCTAATCCTCCCTACGCCTCCCTAGGCATCTACCCCCCATGAACCCCCCCCTTCCTTTAAGGAGCCCAAAAAGGTTTATCATTCGGTTTAGGGCTTATAGGGCCTATGGGGATCCTGTCAGCTAAAGTAAGTTAGACTAGTTATCGGTCATTTCTTCCGGTGCCTGGGTGCGCAAGTGCTCTTCCTCTGTGGCTTTTTCTTTTGGGGGTCTTCTAGATATAGGGGCTGAGCAACCTACCAAGAATCGTATCTTGGGGGGTATATGAAGGGTACCCGCCCCCCCTTTTTGTGAACTTCTCCAAGTCGGAGAACTGTGAGATTCCGAAAAGTCAGCCTGCGAGCTTCGCGGCTCTCTTCCGCTTCTTCTTCTCCTTCCTCTTCCTCCTCCTCTCTTTCTTCCTTCTCCTCCTCTCTTTCCTCCGCCTCCGCTTCTCCTCCTTCCGATGCTTCTTCGTGGCATCCCTGTCGCTCTTGTGCTGCTTCTTCTCCTTCCTCTCCCTCTTCTGCTTGCTCTCCTTCTTTCCTTTCTTCTCCCTCTTTCTCTTTGCCTTCGCCACCTCCACCTCTGCCGGGTTGCCACCATGAGCCTGCCGCACATCCTCCTGCTTCGCGCCTTGACCGGAAGCTCTGGAAGGCTCCGTCTTCGCTGGGAAGCAAGACGGCTTCTTTACTTGCGGGGGCTTGGTGGCGACGATTTCCACGTACCTTCGCACGGCAATCCTACACACCGCCTGGGCCAGGAGATGGGAGAGGGGTCACGAACTCCGGGGGCCTAAGCCTCGAGATATGTTGACACTACGAACAAAGGCAGGCAGGGCCTCCAAAAGCACAAGCTGTGACGCGTGTGGGAGTAGAGTGGAAGTATGAATTGGGTGCCAAGCAGCTTTTCGTGCGTGCTTCTTATCTCGTCTGCTCGTGCTGCTTCCTGCACCAATCACTCTGCCACACCGGACCGGCAAGAAGAAAAGGGGAGGAGGTTCTAACTCACGATCCGTTAACCTTCTGAAGCGGTCTCCAAAACGGACACTAATGTAGAACGCCCAGAACCAGATCTGAGAGGAACAAAAATCAAAAATGTACTGGCTGTGGTTTGGCCCGGTACCTGTATAAGGTGGGGTATGCTGTGTAGGTGTATCCATGTATTATAGGAATTACAAGGGAATGAGTTTTTTGGCTCCTGGTGGTGTGATGTCCGATCCCCAGAATGACTCCCACAGGGATCCCCGAAAGACTCGCACAGGGTAGCGTTCCGCTGACACACAAGTATGCCATCGCACGGCTTCATGATGCTGTGCACAAGTGCATGTTCGTACTTTACAGCAAACTTGTGGATGCAGCACATGCAGCAACTGGGTGGCGTGATGACTATTGCACAGATGCCTGAATTATTTCACCATGCTGCTTCACCATGCTTCGCCCGCAGATGGCATGTCTTCGACTCGGGCACGAGCTGCCACCAAGATTGACGCGATCTTATCTTACCTTTTGGGGTTCACATCCTGCTTCCTTGCAAGACTCCCGCGAGGATGCTTCAAGCCTTGGCTTTAAATATACATCTATCACTTGACCTCACTCCCACATGCGTACATCAGACACACGATAAACCATGACAACCCAAATCCCCAGCCCTAAGCGTAAATCCTCCACCCTTAACCCAATAGCAGCAAGCCCCAGGAGGACGCTGCCTCGTGACCCGGCTTGCAGAACATGATCTGCTTCCCGATGGATGCGCGGAACTCCACGAAGCCTTCCTCCTCCCACACGCAGGGGCTTTATAGGGTTTAGGGTTTGCGGTTTAGGGTTTAGGGTTTAGGGCTGTTGTCGGCCTGCTGTGATCTCGGGAGTTGGAGCTCTTTTGTGTGTGTGAAGGGCGGGGGGGAGGGGTTGAGGTTTAGGGTTTTGGGGCTGAGGGTTGAGTGATCGTCGTCTCTCTCGGATCAAGCAGGCATCTCAAGTGTCTTATTTTCCCCTTCCCTCCTGCGAGCTCAGCCCTTGCGGGTGGGGGGTGTCGCACGGAAGCGTGCTTCGGTTCGAAGTTCATCGCTTCGATGCTGGCCATTTTTGCTCTTCTCTCTCACGCTTGCTCACTGTGGCTCTTGCGCTTCAGCTACTCCCGAAGATCTAGCTTAAACTCCTAGACCCAAGAGGAAGATAAAAAAGTGCACCCTTGTTGGTGTCATATAAAGGGGCTCTTAGAAGGGAAACAGAGCCCAAAAAACGGGAATAAAGGCCTACTCTGGGTCCTAGCCTCCAACAGCCCCCTCAACCTGCAAGCCCGCGGATGCTTGCCGATTTGCCAGGGGTCCGGGGTTTGGGTTTTTGGGTTTTTGGGTTTTTGGGTTTTTGGGTTGAGGGAGGCCCTTGTGAGCTTAAAGTCTCGGACGCCCCTCCCTGCCTTCAGCTCACGCACGGCAAGAGAATGGATTTGCTTGGCTCTTTCGTCCCCGATGGAGAACATCGACTTGATCGACTCTTCGCTGTCAATCTTTGATGCCGTGTTCATGTTGCCTTAGTGTTCTTTGCGGTCACGCAGCTCATGGTCCCAACCCGTCCTGAACCCTACTTTAACAGAAGCTACACACTAGTAACTTTGTGCTGGTTCTTGTTGTGAAGCCTTTGGGACGACTCTAGGTTTTGGGGAACCCCTAAGGTAGATCCAAACACCCTAGGCTTCAAGCCTATGTGCGTGCAGGGCTGAAGGCTTGAGAGGTGATGAGGGTTTCGAGTTTTAGTCTGACCCTGAGCCATAAACTCGGCACCATACGTCCGAACCCCAAGCCCTCAGCCAATTCATGGCTGCACACTTTTGGGAAAGATCATTTCTCGATCCTCAAAATCAGAAGGCCTCTACTTTCTTCTTGGAAACCTGTCGCCAAACTTGGAGACCCTAAACCCTAAACCCTAAACCCGAAACCCTAAACCCTAAACCCCAATCCCCAACTCAGAAATGCTTGAAAAGCTTCAAGGCCGCCAACTTTTCTGCGTGGCAAACATGAGACTGCCACCTGTTTCTGACACTGGCTTTGCCACCCAAGTTTTGTGGGGATCAGCCCGGTTGCAGTCAAACAACTTATTGAAACTGAGACTGAGAATGCGACTTCAACTCGTATCTTGAAACATGGTGGCTTGATGTCTCTCATTCGGCTGCCCTACCTATCGCCTTCGGGCGACAAGTCGGCCAGATCGGCCAGTGAGTTGACCTCCTTCTCTAGGTAGTGATAGCCCTTCCTCTCCAGCCAGGTGACCTCAGCCTTCTGCGAGTTCCCGAGTCCTTCGGAATCCTTCAGGAATGTTCGATCCTCTTCTGGAAGCCAAGCGAGGAAAAGGCGGCGTTCCTCGCGGCCGTATGGAGAAGACGAATCTGGCCCTGTCTGCTGAGACAGGTTCTCAAGGCCACTTTCGCGGGCTTTTAGAAAAACTTCTGATTTCTTAAACTCGGACATTCGTTCCAAGATTCTTTCGCGCCGGAGGTGTTCTTCTCCTGCCGTGGTGAAACTCTGGACCTTGCCTTTGCCTACCATACTGTTAAAGAAATACACTTCGAGGGTGGCAGCGTTTTGCACCGCAAACTCAACGTTTGCGGTCCACTTAGTCCACCATCGGCACCCCCACGGCTTGCTTTCGCCGTAGAGTGGCGTGCACCAGCAACCTCCTGTGAGGTGCGGTGGCAAACCCTGGGCGTCCGCGGCAGGGATCTGGTCATGAGCACCGTAGTGCTCAGATCCTTCCGGCAGAAATACCACAGCTGCGCTTATGGCATCCTTCTTGGCACGCTGAACAAGATCATCCCAGGCTGATTCATACTTGCCTGGCCATGATGTCACCGTGTTCTTTCCATGAACCACCCTGCCTTCAAAGACGATTGTCTTTTGCCGGGTATCCAGAATAACCCTGTCCAGAGACCCCGTGCGGGGCAGCGGAGAAGCCACCATTTGGGCAACGAGGCGGTCACCACCCAAAAGTCTCGCCATCGTCCATGGCCAAAAGAAGAAACAGCACTCTTTTTCAATTCGCCGCTTTTCGTCTTTCTCACAGTAGCGCCCGTAACAACAGCATGCGCACGCCACGATGGGCACCAGCCAAAGGATCACAATCTGCCAGCCGAAGCCGTCGAAAGCGTAAAGCACTGTCATCATCACAACGAAGGCTAGGCCTTCGAGAGGCATGCACAACATAAACTTGATCCGAAATTTGAGATGTCTCCTCCCTTCGGCTTCGGAGAAGCCCGAGAAGTTCTGGAGCTCCGGACGTTTCGCTCTGAGGGCGTCGTCGATTTCATCCATGAGAGGATACCACCACCCGAAAACCCCACCAGCGCAGCACCACAGCAGTGATGCTGCGAAGGCCAGCCCCATCGCCTCTAACGGGTGCTGAACGTGCATTGCCCACACCGAGCACCCGGTCAGCGAGGCCAAGAGGAGGGACAAACTCAATGCAGTGACGTAAAATCGCCGTCGGAAGGATCGAAAATCGGTTTGATTCACGTGTTTGTTCAGCACTTCGTCGATCTGTTCCTGACGCTTCAACCGGAGTTCTGTTTCCTTTTCGGCAGCTCTGTCTTCAGCTTGGACGAAGTTTCTCACCGCGTCGGCAAAAGCTCCGAAGTCGGTGGAAGCTTTCACGGTCGCGCCACTTGTCACGCTGCAGCTCCCGCCAACGTCATCCCGCTCACGAAGTCTCACCAGAAGGGCGCCAATTCGCCTTCACGTGCTGCTGGGCCGTGGCAAGACAATACCTGAATGTCCCGACGATGGACAGCGCTGGGAGCCAAAGAAATCTAGGAGAAAAGACGGCTTTGAACTTCGGGTTTAGGGTTTAGGGTTTAGGGTTTAGGGTTTAGGGTTTAGGGTGCGAATGTGAGAAGTGTGAGGCCAGCCTTCTTGGCCATCGAGAAGCTCATGTTGCAATAGGTGGCCAGACAGTCAGAGCAACATGAGCTGCCACCGATGATCTTGAAACTGCGGTTCAGGGTTTAGGGTTTAGGGTTTAGGGTTAGCGACACTGCGCTCCCTGGCCGCCAAGCAACGCACCGTCGCGAAACGGGCCCCGTCATCGAGCTTCTTCTTGACCTGGCCGTTGCAAATGAGAGCCCCAAAGGGTTTAATTAGGGTTTAGGGTTTAGGCTTTAGGGTTAGTTGTCCAGTAACCTGGGTGCATTAAAGGTTAACCTTTGGGAATATAAGGGGATTCTACTACCCCAAACAGGTTAAAGGTTACCTACTCTACTACTAGGTAAACCTTCAACCGCCAAGGCCCCCTAAGCCCCAAGAATCCCATAGAGGCGTCACTAAACCCCGCAAAGCCTGAGCCCCTGCAGCCCCTCCGAAATTCCTACACCCTGAGAGCCCTGGCCCTAAATGACTTCGAGAAGGCCTGTGGCGGCTTGAGGAGACCCAACCACAGGGTTTATAGGGTTGAGGGCTTGTGGGTTTAGGATCTTGGGTCGAAGGTTGGGAGTTGAGGGTCTATGGGTTCTTCGGGCTTCAAGAGGTTGAGAGGTTTGAGGGCCGAGGGTGTTTGGGGGTGTTTGGAGCCAAACCCTAAACCCTAAACCGTCCTTAAATCGCTAAGTGCCTTAAATCCCTAAGTGCCTTAAATCCCTAAGCCCTATGCAAACTTGGTGGGCTCTAGGCTTGGGTCGGGGACGACATTCTCCAACTCCCCAGAGTCTTTTTCAAGGGTTGGCCCCTACCCCCCCCCTCCCAAAACAAGGAGAAAGCACCCTAAACCCTAAACCCTAAACCCTAAACCCTAAACCCTAAACCCTAAACCCTAAACCCTAAACCCTAAACCCTAAACCCTAAACCCTAAACCCTAAACCCTAAACCCTAAACCCTAAACCCTAAACCCTAACCCTAAACCCTAAACCCGAAACCCCGCAAAAGGTTCCAAAGCAGTGAGGCGAGCTTCCGAGCGATGAGAGAAAGACATACTCGACGACCAGAGGACCTTCCCTTCCTTTCTTCCTTCCACTAAAGCCGGATGACCCTGAACTCGAAACCCGCACTCCATCTAACTAGACACCCTCTAAGCTGCAGTAACTGCAGATGCTCTTTGGCGTTCTTTTTTTGAGGGAACCTGCTTGTCATACTACGCAAGAGATAGTGACGATGAAAAACTCGGCACAACAAAAACGGAACTAACGATTTAAAATTGGGGCTGTCCGTCACATCCGGCCTCTTCGACAATCCTCCTCGCAGCATCCTCGCACAAAGTGACATGAATGCTCTGCCGCAGGGGATCCAAGGTCTCGGGCCACGCTTTAATTAGGCTTAGGGCTTTGCAGGGTTGTTTGCAAAAGCCGTAAAGCCATCAATTCTCGAGAGCTGCAACAAACATGCTGCGTCCTCGACGTCCACGTTGCTGGGTCGCGGCATTGCAGCACACAGCAGAACAGATCTAAGGTCAAATGGGGCCCCTAATCTGCCCGGATTTTGGGGGCCCATATCTACCCAACCTATGTGTCCTTTCAAGCGTTCTCGCAAGGGGGAAGCAGGATGCAAGTATCTTGATCCGTCTTTTTTAAACTTAATACCTGTAGGCTTCAGGTTCAGGGGTTTGGGGTGTGGGGCTTACATTTGCTGCTTGTTCGGTGTTCGGAGGCCGGTGAAGAGCTGCCACGATCCGAAGGAAGGCCAAGCACAAGCTAAGCCACCCTAAACCCTAAACCCTAAACCCTAAACCCTGAACCCTGAACCCTGAACCCTAAACCCAAATCCCTAAGCCAATGACATCCCACGTGACATCGACGGCCTTTCTCTTGAAGGCGCTGCTGTAACAGCCGAGAAACTGCAGGGCCCGTTTGAGCAACAGCTTAGGGTTTAGGGTTTAGGGTTTAGGGTTTAGGGTTTAGGGTTTAGGGTTTAGGGTTTAAGGACAACTCCCTTGCCTACAGGCCCTTCAAGTACTTCTGACGCAAATCCTGCCCCAATGTTCTTTTTGGTCTTTGGGGGGTGCAAGGAGGGTTTGTGGTTTAGGGTTCCTCGAATGTATACACCTTAAAGATGAAGCCTACAAAGCTCGACATCCTACCACCTTAAACAACCCAATTCGCGCCGGCTGTCTACTTATAGGCAGGGCCGGGTAGGGTTTGAGTCTACCCTTAATCAGGCTATCAGCATAGTTCCCCCACTTATATTACCCCTCTTCTAACCATCCATGCATCATGAACTTCCAAGTAAGGGGTTTGGGTTTAAGGCTTCTACGGAATTCATGAGTGGCCTGCTGCTAGTCAGAGCCTACAAAGCTGCTTAGAACTGAACAACCCTAAACCCAAACCCCAACACGAAGCTGAGCTTGGGGCAGAGATTGCAAGGCACGGGACATGTCAGCCTGGCACAACCCCCACCCAACCCCTCCAAAACACCTTCTGCCTAAACCCGAAACCCTTTCAAGAGAACTGCATTGAAAGCCTTCGAAGTCCGACAAACCCCCAAACAAAACGCGCCCAGCACCGTGGACAGTTTCGAGACCCCTCTCCCTTAAACCGCTCAATTGAGTTAGCCCGGGGTCGTGGAGCAGGGAGACGGCAGGCAAGGGAGCTCCGGAGCTATTCCGACGGGCGACGGAACTCTCGGGAAGTCGGAGGTGTGAGATCGTGGTCCGTACATCATTCCTTGCGACACCTAGGGGCGACGGCGCCAGCCAAAGACCCAAAGGACGTACTTTTGGTCCTTGAAAGGTTGCTAGGGATTTCCAAAGGCCACAAGGCCGCGAAGGCCTCAGAATGATGTACATCATCCCTTGTGGGCGGGCGGAGGCGCCAGCCAACCCCCAACACCTAACCCCCAGACACCGAAGCCTCCAGAGCACCTGCAGGGCCTCCAGTTTTCATGGCCCTAAAATGACGCCAGGATTCCTGGCTGCCAAGCTCACACACCGCAACTTTTCCAGGGCCTCCATTTTATTCACTTCCAGGACCCTTCCAAAGCTCTTAGAACCCGAGGTCTCCCAAAGGAACCTCAGAAAGCAAGGGAGCCCTAAGCTCCCGCAGAGGTGAAGGTGAGGGTGGCGCGGAAGCAAGGGTGCGCCGGCCTGGGCGCTTTTAAAAAACCAGCACGCCCCCCTCATTGCTACACCCTAAACACCGAACCCTAAACCCTAAAACCCTAAAACCCTAAACCCTGAACCCTGAACCCTAAAACCCTAAACCCTGAACCCTAAAACCCTAAACCCTGAACCCTGAACCCTAAATCCTAAATCATAATATGTGCCTCAGATTGCTCCAGGGCGATTGTCCACAGGCCCCGCTCGTCTTGCAAGCGGACCTTCTGGACCGGCCGGTGTGCTGTCTCACATGGGCGGCTTGTAGTTAGGGTATATGAAGTAGGGTTTATTGCCTTGTATCCCCTGAAAGGACAGCAATATACTCACCAATATTCAAAAGGAACCCTATATACACTCACCAATAACAGAAATATAAACCCTGCTTCATATAGCGCTGGGTTTTGGGTTTAGTTAGGGCTTATAGGGGCTAGAAGTTCAATTTCAAGTGGTAGAGGAGTGCCGCCCCCAACACTGCCATCAGCTGGGTAGTGCTCCTTGCTTCCCCGCACTAAGGGTTGATAACGCCAAACACCTGACCAAAAGCACAGTCACGCTATCAAATGAAGTGACAGTACCAACACAAGTACTCATTATAATGATACTCATAACCATTATCAACAAAATCATGACCATCATCATCATGATCGTCATCATCTAGTCCCAAGAGTAAAGTAGGAATAAACAAGGTGCCCCTGTTTGGCTTTGAAGGGTTTCATAGGGAAACCTGCACCCCCAAAAAGAGAATAAGGGCCTACTCCGGGTCCTCATCATTATAGCGCGTGTACTAGGCTTTAGTAGGGCCCCACAACAGCACATAAGCAAACATTAGGGTAGGGATATCCCACATAAACCCCCTTAGAATGAAGCCCTATAAGGTAGGGATATCCATATAAAATGCTTATGCTTATGTCCTTTTTGGGTCCCTAATTTGGGAGTAACAGGCACCTCCAGCTGCTTCGGAAGAGTCACGTCCTCCGGGATCCAGCGCTCGGGGGCCCCTTCCACCCCAAGCCCAAAAAAAATCGGCTTAACCAAAGAGCCCTAAACCCTAAACCCTAAACCCTATACACCCTAAACCCTAAACCCTAAAACCTAAACCCTAAACCCTAAACCCTAGAAAAATTCGGTTCGGACTCAGGGTTCACGTGACTTCGGAACTTCGGGATTTTTTAGCTCTTGCCTTTCTCAATCTAAGACAGGGCCCCCGAGCCCAGAGGCGGGAAGAGAAACGCCGGACGGGAAGCAAGACCAAGCACTACTCAATAGTGCCATGTGATACTATCTATTGCTGTGTGTTCTCTATGTTGCTAATAACTTAGTATGCTTTATACATAAA